CCTAAATTTGCATGCGTGGCGCCAAAACTGGGTGGGCGTGGCTTAGAGGGGTGCACATGTCCTAAATTTGCATGCGTGGCGCCAAAACTGGGTGGGTGTGGCCTGGGGCTTGGTGGGCGTGGCCTGGGGTGGGTGGGCGTGGCCTAAATTTGCACGCGTGGCGCCAAAACTGGGTGGGCGTGGCTTAGAGGGGTGCACATGTCCTAAATTTGCATGCGTGGCGCCAAAGCTGGGTGGGCGTGGCCTGGGGCTTGGTGGGCGTGGCCTGGGGTGGGTGGGCGTGTCCTAAATTTGCATGCGTGGCTCCAAAGCTGGGTGGGCGTGGCCTGTGTTGTTGGTGGGCGTGTCTTAGAGGGGTGGGCGTGTCCTAAATTTGCATACGTGGCGCCAAAGCTGGGTGGGCGTGTCCTGAGTGGGCCCCGCCCCCTTTTCCCAGCACGGGGACATGGACCAGAAGGAGCGTGACGTCATCATGCGGGAATTCCGCTCCGGCTCCAGCCGCGTCCTCATCACCACCGACCTGCTGGTCAGTGCCTCAGTTTCCCCCGGAATTCCGGCCGGGAAAGCGGGAATGCCGGGAAAAACCCCGAAATTCCGGGAAAAAAGAGAAAAATTGGGGGAAAAACGCAAAATTTTGGGGTTTTTCCCACAAATTTGGGGTTCCTGACCCCTCCCCCACACTCAGAAAATTCCTGCCTCAGTTTCCCCCGGAATTCTGGGCGGGAATGTCAAGAAAAACCCCAAAATTCCGGGGAAAAAGAGAAAAATTGGGGAAAAAACGCAAAATTTTGGGATTTTTTTATTAAAATTTGGGTCTCTGACCCCTCCCTTACACCCCGAAAAGTTCCTGCCTCAGTTTCCCCCGGAATTCCGGGCGGGAATGCGGGAATTCCGGGAAAAACCCCGAAATTCCGGGAAAAAAGAGAAAAATCGGGGAAAAAACGCAAAATTTTGGGATTTTTTCACATGAATTTTGGCTTTTTTCTCCTCCCTCACCTTCCGGAAATTTTCTGCCTCAGTTTCCCCAGGAATTCTGGGCGGGAATGCCGGGAAAATCCCCGAAATTCCGGGGAAAAAGAGAAAAATTGGGGGAAAAACGCAAAATTTTGGGGTTTTTCCCACAAATTTGGGGTTCCTGACCCCTCCCCCACACTC